CTTCACGTTCACTGGGTGCTCAACGACGGAGTTGAGAAATCACACAGGCATACACACACGGGCACACACAGACTCGGCACGTCTCTGCGCGCCTTTGCTGGGGAGTGGCGCTCACCGGACGGAGTGGGAATCTAAATTGGGTCACCGGGTTCGCAGTGCCATGCTCTAACCATTGCACCACAGGCTCCCCTCTCACCTCTCACACATGCTCATGCACAGCTCCATCACAGGGACATTGCCTCCGAATGTTTCTCTCTCGTTTTTTTGGCTTGTGAGTAACACTGCGTATATCTGATGGGGGCAAGCGAGGCCGCTCGCTCTCCTGTGCCCGGCCCCTAGACGCCGCGGCCGCTTGAGAGAGACACTGCTCAGGACTGCGAGGCCTCGGGTGATGTGAACTCCCGTGACCTCACTACCCCTTTTGTAAATCTTGACTTAAAGCTTTCGTGACTGCACGAATTCATATTCTTTGGGTCTTTCAGTAAAGTTACGTAGATAGGTTCAAAGAAAATAACAAATAACTACGACGTTTCGATCGCAACACAAGCGGTCGTCATCAGGAAAAGGGGGTTAGCCTCTCAAGGCAAACGGTTTAAAATGGGCATGGCCTAAGTGTCAGCAGCATGTGCGGGGTAGCTAATGATAATGTAAGGGATTAAAAACGGTGTCCGCCAGCAGCATGTAGGGCGGTGCTGCCAGGTAATTACACACACTGGTGGCGGTGGAGGTTGCTGCTTGGAGTGATGGTAGTAGTGCTTTCTCAATTAAAAAAGAGGGATGACACTGTCATCCTCTCAGCCGACAAGGGCAATGCCACAGTCATCATGGACAAAACCACACACAATAACAAAATTCAGGACCGACTTAATGATGGTAGCTATACAAAAATTAAAAGAGATCCCACCAACAGCATCGTTACGAAACCAACAATATCATCACTTATTCGCCATCTTTTATCGAACCAACCAAGCGGTTTCCTTAAAACCATCTGCTGCTAGACCACCCAGATTTAATGGCTTACCAAAAATCCATAATGAAAAGGTACACCCCTTCCTCCTATCATCTCCACCATTGACTCACCTACCTACAAACTGGCCCGATTTCTGTCTGAGACCTTACAACCATTCACTGGTAAGACCACCTCAGCTGTACTTAACTCAGCTCACTTGGTATCGTTAAGGACATCTCACTATCTCCAGGTGATTTGCTCGTTAGTTTCGATGTAGTCTCTTTGTTTACCAAAGTTCCTGTGCATTATACCATTGCAAGCATTGAAGATTTGGTCCAACAAGGACTGAATGCTGATGTACTGGCCCTGGTAAGACACTGCCTCACCAACACTTATTTCACCTGGAATGGAACATTTTACAAACAAGTGGAAGGTACCCCAATGGGTTCTCCCTTATCTCCAGTTGTAGCCAATGATATGGAAAAATTTGGAACAGATGCCATCCAGGCAATCCACTCTACGTCCGTCCTTGTGGAAGAGGTACGTAGATGACACGTTCGTCATTTGGCCACATGGCCAACCAGCTCTGAACCAATTCCTCAACCACATAACTTCCATACACCCAGCCATCAAATTCACCATGGAGTTGGAAAAGGATGGCAAGCTACCATTCTTGGATGTTTTAATCGAAAAGAGACCAGATGGCTCAATGGGCCAGTGTCTACAGGAAAGCCACCCATATGGATGCCTACCTAAATCCTGACTCCCACCACCATCCATCCCAGAAGAATTCCCTCATCAAAACTCTACAACATAGAGCTCGATGTATTTCCGACCATCATCACCTAGCCAGTGAACTGGAACACGTACACCAAGCTCTCAAGACCAATGGATATTCAGACTACACAATCCGTAAAGCTATCACCCCAACCGTTGGGAAAGAACCATCCGAGGACCCAATCAAAACCATCACCTTGCCATACATAGCGGGGGTCCCCGAAAATATTTCCAAAATCATGAGCAAACTCAAGATCAAGGTTCGATTGAACACATTCCATAAAATTCGTGATCTGATCCCATCTGTGAAGGACATGATCCCTGACATGCAATACCCCGGCGTCTACAAACTAAGCTGTGTCTGCGGCAGTAGTTACATTAGGGAAACACTAAGCACCATGTCTCGGACCGTGTTCGTGAGCATAAGGCACATCTGAAGCACGGTAGGACCAATACCTCAGCCGTGGCTGATCATTGTTTTAATGCGGTGGGCTCACACGAAATTGATTTCTCTAAGACGAAGGTACTTTGCAAACCCACTGGCTATCAACAAAGATTCGTTCATGAAGCCATCCATATATACATAGACACAATTTTAACCGAGAAGATAGTTCCAAACTCAGCAATCACTGGAAGGACATTATCAACCAGTTTAAGTCATACATGGCTCTAATGTTTCGATTTTAAATCTGGCACCCCTTTAATTGGTGGAAGCCCACCACCAGGACCATCACTACCCACTACTACCATCACCGCTAGCAGTAGCCCTTTATTGGTGGAAGCCCACTACCAGCACCATCACTGCCCACAACTACTATCACCTCTAGCAGCAACCTCCACCGCCACCAGTGTGAGAGTTTAATTACCTGGCAGCACCGCCCTACATGCTGCTGGCGGACACTGTTTTTAATCCCTTACATTAACATTAGCTATGAAAGCGAGGTGCAATAATTACCTGGCAGCCCTTTAATTGGTGGAAACCCAGCACCAGCATTGCCCACTACTACCATCATCGCTAGCATCGCCCTACATGCTGCTGGGGGACACCGTTTTGAATCCCTTACATTATCATTAGCTACCCCGCCCATGCAGCTGACACTTTGGCTACGCCCATTTTAAACCTTTAGAAACAGTTTGCCTTCAGAGGCTAATCCCCCGTTTCGTGATGACGACCGCTTGTGTTGCGATCGAAACGTCGTAGTTTTTTGTTATTTTGTTTGAACCTATCTACGTGACTTTACCGAAAGACCCAAAGCATATGAACCCCTTTTGTGTTTTTGCTCAGATTGACCTGCGGTGTCTCTGACGTCAATGAAATTGATCGTGTTCCTCTTGCTTGAGCCCAATAAACTGTGCACCCCCCCCCCCCTTACCTCTGATTTAAAGCATCATCATCGCTCTGGGCAGCCTATCCTGCCAGAGGTGATCATTCACAGTTTTGGCAAAAAGATGACCCAGAGCATAAAATTATGCGAGGCAAATTGTATTGCAACATTTTGTTGATAAACACGATGCCCTGAATGAAGAGAGATTTGCTGCGAATGAGTTCTGCGTTTATGGGTTTTTAAAAAAAAATAGCATTTCTGGGAACCTTTCAGCTTTTTTTAGTGATTTAAAATTACTTGTGTAGAAATGGTGAGGATGACTCATGAGGATTTTCTTACTGGGGGTTTGCTCAGGTGAGCGTTGCTCTTCCATCCGCTCGTGTATTTTGTTCCAAGGTCAAAAATAAAAATTAGCACAAAAAATGTTTTGAAAAGATTCAAAATCCAATCCTCCTGACAAAGTGTTCAGCATGTTGAGTGAGGATTCCCCGGATTTAAACATTCCTGATTGGTTATCATTCAGACAGGCACCGTGGCCCATTTTGTGCCGTAGAGTAGACCTCGCGTTCCAGATCAGAATCTGTATTTATATTGCAGGATTAATCCGATAAGTTTATAAAGCTCTTTTTTCACAGATGTCCAGCAGGGCCACAGGGTAAGAACGTTACAACATCAAACACAATACAAAAACACGATAGGAGTGCAAAGCCACGGTGTTGCACATTTCTAAATCGGCATCCATATGTTATCTACTCAGAAAAAAACAGTGCCTATAATGGAGTGAGTGGGAAATAATTGTATTGTTGTTCTTTTGTCACAGAAAAACCCCTGCATTCGCATACAAAACTGTTCCCAGAAATGCTTTTGGCAAAACGTCATAAAATGCAGAACTCTTGAGTAAACATGGGACGGAGGAAACAGGCTCTCGCTGGGCCCTGTGAACCCCCCCCCCCTCCCGGCGGCAGCGCAGCCTTGGCCTGGCACTGGCATGAGAAGAAGGTGACGCGAGGGAAGCTGTGAGGCTTGTGTGTTGGTTCCCTCTACGGGAGAGAGCTCGTGGCCTAGCCCCCCGTCCCACCCCAGCGGTCGTCTCCACCTCGGCTCCAATTGACTGCTCCTGTCCGGGAATACCTTTACATCCAGAAATTGGGGCTTCGCGTCAGCGCAGAGCCACACGCTCGCAATCGCCCACGGTTGCCCACAGCCATGCACAGCTCGGAAGTTGCCCGTATTTGATATCGCGGGTTTTCAGTGATGTCCTCTAAAAGCGTCTTATTAGACCGCAACGCTTATGCATATAAGCGTTTTAGAGTATTTGGCTGCTGTAAAATTTCCACGTGATGATAAGCCACTTCGTTGAGCTATCATTTGTGGCCACGTCACTTCTAAAAAAGAGGCATATAGTTCAGTGGGCCTTACCTGGTCAAATAAAAAAAATTGTTTAGTTCATGGTTTAGATTAGTGAGAGGCACAGAATGTGCCGATCAGTCCAGTCATCATTTACTGTGCTGAGATCACCAAACAATTGTGGGAGCCTGAGATTTGAACCTGGCTCTCGTGGGTCCCTTCCTGAAGCAGATAGTAACAGCCGTCTGAGCCGTCTACCCTCTGCCCCCAACATTGCCTTTCCGCTTCATTCTCGCCACAGCCGTAACACCTAAACCCGCCCCCCCCCCCCTTCACAGGCCTAAGCTACAGGGTAACGGCTGAATCCGTGTTGAAAAATATGTTGCCACACAAAGTATCATTTTGCTTCTCTCAATGCTGCCACGGTTACCATGATGGTGCTAGCCACCGATGGGTGAATTTGGCCGCAGCCTCTCTCTCTTTCTGGCCGCCCGTGTTTTTTGGTTCCATGCCTCAGCAGCAGCAGCAGTCTATTGGGCCCAGGCTCATCTTTATCAGATGTTGCAAAGTGTGAACGATGTGTGCTTTTTTATTTTCATCAGATATTGTGGTTCCTGGATCACACACATCCACCAATACACAAGCCAAGATCTCGGCGGGGGAGAACATTTTCGTCATCCAGGGGAACAGGGGTAACTGATGACATCTAGCGCACACCCCACACTGGCCCATGGCACGCCCGCCGCAGAAGCAATCCTTCCCCGCCGCACCGTTCTCTTCGAGCCACGTGGAAGTCCGTGGAGATTCTCTGCCATTAGAATTATTGACCAGAATATTTCCATAGCAGCAAAGTGCTGTGATATGGAGCTTGTTGCCACGGTTCGAAGTTTCTAAAAGTACCCCCGGAACATCCGATTGGGTTTACGCAACGCAGCATCATCGCCCCCCCCTCCCCCCTCCCCCCTCCCCCCCCCCCTCTGTTAAACCTCTGTGGGCTGTCTTCCTTCCTCCGTCATGATTGCCTTGTGCTCTCGGAATGGCACGAATATCAAAATGTGCTCATGACTGATCTCGTGACAGGCGTCTGGGGTGCCGTTTGGCACGTGGCACACACGCCTGGCAACTAAATCAATAACTTGGTTGCCGGGGAAAATCTGCCTCCCTGCAGTTGCTGTCAACAGTCTTTTTTTTTGTTTACTGAAACTTTGTTTGCCAAAATGTTAACTACCTCTCCCTGGTATAGAGGATGTAGTGGGTTCGATCCTGACCCTGACGCCTGCTGTGTATATTTGGCGTTTGCATGTTATCTCTCCCCGTGGTCACGTGAATTTTTTTCCAGGTCCTCCGCTTTTTCCATCCACATGAGAATAAACACACGTTGGGAGTATTTGGCTGCTGTATATTCCCACGTGATGATAAGCCACTTCGTTGACCTATCATTTGTGACCAAGTAGCTTCTGAAAAAGAGCTGTATAGCAGCTCAGTGGGCCTAACCTGGTAAAATAAAAAAGAGTAAGTTAAACCTTTGGGAACAAGACCAGGACGCTGGCACACAGTGACCACACCCTGGGCCCTACGTTGGTTGCTGAGTGCGCTCACGTGCCTCTGGTTCCTGCTCATTAGAGTTCTCCCGCCTCCTCCGAGAGGCTTACGTTCAAAACTCTGACGGTGTCAGCAAGAGAAGATTCATTATCACGGCCCACATGTAACGAAAACGTCTCAAAAACAACTGTAACTAATGTTTTCCACATTCCTCTCGCACTGAATCTCAATGGGCTCCCATGTTGCTCAAATGAAATGCATCAATCGCTGCCTTCGTGCCATTTCAGACTGTTCATTTTCTCACTCGTCACAGATTTGTGTTGCTTGAAGCTTGTGTGTGTGTGAGAGAGACGTGGCCCTGGGCGCTTCACAGCAGTTTGCCGAGTTGCTCAACCCAGACTCTGAACGTTATTCATGCGAGCTCCTGTCAAGGGTCACCCCTTGGTTCTAATTGCTTCCCGAAGCACACTCTTGGATCCCAGGTGGGAGAGGCACCACTGGGAGCCCTGCACGTGGCCTCCATTGATTGGGGCTCACTTGGGGTTTGGCTGCCCAGGGATTTGTGGGGGGGGCGGGGGGAGCCTCCGGGAAGGGGGGGCCTTGCTGAAACTTGCTCCTACGAGCCTCTCGACTGGAGAGTTGTTAGTATTAAGTTCTTTGGAGCTGCTTTGGGGTGGTTTATTGCGGTTGGGGACCACGGTTATTTGCATGTTAAGTTTGTCGCTTGATGCAAACTCGAATATAGTTGACATGACAAAATGTGATGCAACCGTCATGAGCATCAGGTACTGGATCTCTCTACAAGAAAGTCCCAGTGTGCTGTGATACTTTATGTTATTTTATTTGTTACGTATTTTACTAATTTATATATATTTTTACGTATATACAATGGATATTTACGAATTTTATTTCTTCCATACAGAGATATATAGGAATCCCCCAGCTTTGAATTGCCGCATTATGCGTTGTTTCGCATATACGTTGCGGACAAATTAGGGAATGTATTTCCTTATGAGTTTAACGTTTCGCTTATGGGTTCTTTTACAAAAAAAGAGTGCATATTCTTGCGTGTAAAAAACTTGAACCGCACCCATCGAAAACTAGCTATTTTGTGATGTGATACTGACGTGTACATGCACTCAGGGGAAGGCAGCCCTGACCCGTGACACGCGCCATACACGCACAAAACAGAGTATTGCGTCGCAAAATAGCTGGACTCAACAATGTGGAGGGGTCGGACAACGTGGTTGAGTTGCTCTCAAGTGAGGATCTGATGCAACTGGAACAACGAAGCAGAACAATTTTGTCCAGCCGTCTTTGGACGTCTAGAGAAGAGCCCGGGAGAGAGGCAGCTTCCCCTGGTGAACCTTCCTGTGGCTCCAGCTTCATCGTCAGATGAAGAAGAAGGGGCAGGCGACCCTGCCCCTTCGTCTGCATCACTCCACCACTGCTCACCCCTAGAGGCCTCGGATCAACAAACTTTTAAGCCATCTTTGATAAGTTGTATCTAACTTTATTTATTTAAAATGTATGTCCACAAATAATCATATACATGTTTGTACACTTCATGTATGTGCGTTGAATTTCTTTCGCACCGTACTTAGCCATCCGTGCTATTTAGTCACACTTTTTTTCCTAGGAAATGTCGGTGATGAACGCAACTCCTGATTTAACATAATGTCATTGGGGAAATTGTAGTTTGCTTTAAGCAATTTCGAGTGAAGTCACATTTCCAAGGAATGCAACATCCCTTACGTAATAAAAAGGGGACTCCTGAAATTGAAAAGATTGCCGTCAGAGTATTTAGTGCCAACACCCGGGGTGGGAGCAAGGAAACTACTCGTGGCATGGCGATGGTAAACACAAAACGGACCGGATATCACGAAGATGCAACGTGGACTGGAGGAGCTCAAGCAAGAGAGAAAGAGAGAGAGGAGTGGCACCCGTGCATCCACAGCAAGGAAACCACACAGCATTGAGGGAGAGTCATGTGACAACGGCAATGACATTGTGCACCGAAGCTCTGCCAGTGCTATAAATGTGTGCACTGCTGTCACGAAGGTGACCGGAGGAGCGGCTATGGCAGCAGTAGAACGCAAGAGAAGGGCCTGCAACTCGAGTGCTGCCGCGATGAACGTCACTTGCAGAAGAGGCGGGGGCGGCGACGGCGGCCCTTGTGTCAGCGCAGTCACCTGCGGCTTGCCTCTGGGGGAGCCTGAGTAGCTTTGGTTCGCAGGAGAGCGGCATGGCAATTTAGCCCCAAGGGCTCCAAAATCGTACAGTATTTTGAAACTTCGGTCAAGAATATGAACGGAAGATGTTGAAGTGGGGCGACCGTGGAAATGTGGACAAACAGACTCGGCAATAATCGCAATGTTGCTCGACAGAGATGTACCAATTTATTCAGGGAAATTAAAACAATGACACCCCTGGACAGTAAATATGGTGGCAGGTTATGTTCGTGACGGTCCTTGCTGAAGATATCACAGCTAAGATTGCAGACGACTGCAACGATGGTCGGATATATCACCTGCCACATCCTGCTGCAACAAGGGATGGTAGCATGACTACAAAGCCAAAGATTGTGTTTGGAGGATGTCGCATCCTCGAAATGGCTGTTTACCGACAGGAACCGACTCACCCAAAAGGACCATTTTCAGTGTGCTAATAAGGTTCAGACAGGATAAAATAGCATGGCAGGCATCACGAAAGCTTTCCTAAAAATCTCTGTTCTTTTATGCGATGGCAACATTACGTTGTTGGGGTAAATGCCATTATCGAGGTCTGCTGGCCACGATGAGAGGGCTTCAGGGGAGAGAGTTTTGTGTAGCTTTGCTACTCCTCTTCCAGTGAAGGATATGAGGCTACATTGGGTCCACTTAATGGTTCATCGTTTGGTTTGCATGGCCGCAAGCGCACCACTTTGGCTTGTTTTAAATGTTCTATTCGTGAAGGAGATGTGCGCATCGGCCTGTTGATGCTCTGATGCGGTTGTTGGTTCCCACCAGTGTCTTTGAGGAGGAATGTCAGAGCCAGGGAGTGCGATGATTGGGGCTCGAATGACTGAGAAGCACTCCCAAAGCAGGGAGATTGATTAGGGGTCTTGCGGCAGCACCTGCTGTGAATGCCTCTCAATGGCCGCACTGTTTATCAAGGGTGCCGGGCACGACCCCGATATCTAACCAGGACTCGCGTTTGCCCACAGGGGTCTACATCCGCACCAACGATGGCAAGATCTTCGCCGTCAGGTCCGGACCCAAGCATCCCGGACGCACCATCCCTGGAGGTCACTGCATGCCCCATTCACTCTCGCACATCCAGGGCTGGGGCTGTGCAGGTGGAGAGGGCTAGAGGTGGCGAGGTATAGAAGAGGAGAGGGATAGAGGTGGCGAGGTATAGAAGAGGAGAGGGATAGAGGTTGCGAGGGATAGAGAAGGAGAGGGATAGAGGAGGAGAGGGATAGAGGAGGAGAGGGATAGAGGAGGAGAGGGATAGAGGAGAGGGATAGAGGAGGAGAGGGATAGAGGAGGAGAGGGATAGAGGAGGAGAGAGATAGAGGAGTAGAGGGATAGAGGTGGAGAGGGCTAGAGGTGGCGAGTTATAGAGGAGGAGAGGGATAGAGGAGGAGAGGGATAGAGGAGGAGAGGGATAGAGGAGGATAGGGATAGAGGAGGAGAGGGATAGAGGAGGAGAGGGATAGAGGTGGTGAGGGATAGAGGAGGAGAGGGATAGAGGAGGAGAGGGATAGAGGAGGAGAGGGATAGAGGTGGTGAGGGATAGAGGAGGAGAGGGATAGAGGAGGAGAGGGATAGAGGAGGAGAGGGATAGAGGAGGAGAGGGATAGAGGAGGAGAGGGATAGAGGAGGAGAGGGATAGAGGAGGAGAGGAATAGAGGAGGAGAGGGATAGAGGTGGCGAGGGCTGAGCAGGAGTGGGCTGAACAGGCTTTTTGTATCTGTTCACGTGTTTTCCTGCCCTGGGTTTTTGTCACTTGGAGTTTCCCTGTTTTCTTGACCCTTAGTGTCCTGGGCAGATGGGTGAGCAGTAGTCTTGGGCACTTGCCACCCCTAGGGTCCCTGAGCCTGTGCCACATCCTACGGTGCAGGATTGGCTAGTCCTATCCCCACCGCATGCCCAAGCAGCTTCTGTTTGGCCAGATAAATGGGGCTAAATGTCGTGGCACGTGCTGGAAAAGAGATGGATTTACGCGGTACAGAAGAAAGTGAAGCTGATTGGCACTAGCGATATCAAGATTGGCCTCTGTGCCCTTCAAAAACAACGGAGGGCAGAAGAGCTACGCTCTCAACAACGAGTGGAGCGCCGGGCGGCTAAAACGTAGAGAGTTGGCACAGTGGGGAGCACAGTCAGTACATCTGTCAGTCATCTCAGTCAACCCATGGCACCTTGGGTCTGTTCCGTGACCTCCTGCCAGTGGTGCCTTCGACACTTCACATGGCCGAAAAGTGCACGTGGCCTGGCACAGGTGATGTGCCATGGTGACATCGCCGCCACTTAGTGGTGAACAGCGGTTGTTGTTGCTGCTACTATTCAAGCTGTGGCACATGCAGGTTGTGGTTCTCGTAGGCTGTGATGCTCACAGGTTGTGACACTCGTAGGTTGTGACACTTCTAAGCCGTGACACTCGCAGGCCATGCAACTCACAGGCCATGGCACTCGTGGGCTGTGGCCCTTTCAAGCCATGTGCTGACGGCTCTCTCGCTCTCCTGTGTGCAGGCGAGGTCGTGCCAGTGCCGCACTCTTCTTCACAGCCGTGGGGCGCCGCCGCGTCTGCGCTGGGCTTGATGGAGGCGCCGATGCTTTGTGGACCAGACTCCCACGAGCTCCCGGCTGCCCCCGCGCTCACCCACACTCAGCAGCCCTTGCCCGGCGATGGCGGCGGAGGAGAGCAGGGCTCCGAGGAGAAAGGGCAGCTGGACAGGCGTGGAGACAGTGCCCTGGCGGAGCGCCTGCGCAGGGATGGCGGGCACGGCACGGAGCTCAACGGATGCGCGGAGAAGAAGCAGGACGGGGAGGAGGAGGCACGGACGCGCAACGGCCTGGCTCTCTCCCCGCCTGGGCCCTCGTCGGCCACGTCGGGGCTCCCCGAGCCGCTGGCCGTGGCGCCGCTCGCCCCGCTGGGACACCCGCTGTGTGTGGGGCCCACGCTCTACCCCTACCAGCAAGTGTACGGAGACCCCCGCCTTTACAGCGGGGGGGGCGGATACTTCATGCCGCCGTCGACGAACCCCGCAGCGGGGGGCGCGGCATCGCACACGTCCTCGCCGCAGGCCACCCTGCCGCCCAGCTCGGCCTTCTCGTCCTCGACGCTCGCGCAGACCCTGCTGAGGGACCAAGGCCTCCGCGAGCATGGCCTCCTGCCCTCGCTGACGCTGCCGGCGCCGTCGCTGCTGCCGGCGACGGATCTGTCGTTCCTGCGTGGCTCCGGGGCCGCCTTCCCTGCGCTGGCACCGCAGCCGCCCCCGGGGGGCCTCCCCCGGGCTGGGGCACAGGTGGCAGGAGAGCAGATCGTCATCAGCTCCGACGACAGCGACTGACGAGGCCGCGGCGGTGCGGACGAAACGACGGGGGGGGGGAGGGGGCGGGGTGTGGATGGGGACGTCCACCCTCCCACCCCCGTGCGCGCCCACCGGGCCCCAGTGGTCAGGTCTGGGCAGTGGAGTCGCTTCTTGACTACTGACCTGTGACGTCGCTCCAACAGCATCCTCTATATACTGTATTGTACATATATGTATATGTGTACGCACGTGTATTCGTGTATATATAAGTATGGATACATCGGCCAGGCAGAGTCGGGGACGGGGGGAGGCTGGGGGGGGAGCCCGTCAGTCGTTTGTTTCTGGGAGCCCCAAAATGCCCTAGTCCGATCTCGTGCTCTGATCCAGTTCATCTGAAACCCGAATCCCCCCACCCCTCCCCTTCACCCTGGCCCTTTTTTACTCCTTGGTGCAGGTCCAAGCCTCCTTTTCACTCCCATTCCTGAACTCCCCAGGGTCATCGCGGTCCTATCCATCAGGGGGGCCCCCTGCGAGGCCGGTCAGTTATGATGATTTTTTTTATACAAAGCGTGTGCGCGGCCCGCAACGCGTCGGCACAATGTAAGATAATTAGCGAGCGGGCGACGCACGCGCGTGCCGAGCCCTGCGGATTGAGCAATAGTGGCCACTTCCTCTTGGAGCCTGAGCAGCCCCCCCCCCCCCCACCGGGTGAGCCGAGGTCACCACCTCGAGCCGATTCCTGGGGTCCTACTCTCTCTCTCGTGTCTCCTAGTCTCAGTGGGCAGGAGAGGAGCTGGGGACGGGGCGTGTGTGGGAATGTGTAACGCGTAGACGACGGCGATTGGCTGTGGGAGGGAGAAGCGACAGAAATGGCAACGGCCTTCGGTGGTGAAAAGCAGAGCGATGGGGACTGCGTGAAATCGCTCCGCACAGAGCAAAGTGACGAGCCGAACGTACGTACGCACGTCGAATTTCTTTCGCACCGTACGTAGCCAACCGTGCTGTTCAGAGGTGTGGGGCAAAGGACAACAAACTAAACAGATATATGTTTAAATTTCGATTTAAAGCTTTCGTGATTGCAGGGATTCACCTTGGTTCTTTCGGTAAAGTTACGTAGAGGGGAAATAATAAAATGATACAAATAAAACAATGCAATTCTCACGTCTTTTCGATTGCAACACAAGCAATCATCATCAGGTGTGAAAACCATAGCAAGAAAATGTTCTTGCTGTGGTTTTATTTGTATTATTTTATTATTTCCCTTCTACGTGACTTTACCGAAAGAGCCAAGAATATAAATATCAGTTTCTAAAGAGTTGTATCCAAACCAAACATAGAGGGTCAGCAGATGTTTCAGACAACGCACGCCCATACATTACATTGGTGCAAGAGGTAACAATGTTGATGTGCTAGTGGGGTAAGTAGTGTTTCGTTGCGGGATGCTCTTTTGTTGGGATTTCTATTAAATCTACGCCTCTTAACTTGCCACGTTGGATGTCGTGAGGTAGTTAATGTTCTGAGTTCACAGCGAATGCAGCTTCGCTTAGTTTCCATCCGTGTTCGTTCTGTCGAGGGCACCGCCACCACTTCATGCGTCCGATGTTACTTCGTTGTCTCGGCTGCCGAGGCCACGCGGCTCCACACGCCTTGCTCCGTCGTGTCCTGTGTAGCCAGCAGCATTGACGTTTTTTGGAGAGGTCACAATTTACATAAAGTGTATAATCGTTTTGTATTTATTTATTATGCTTTTACTTTTTTGTTCTAAACTTTTTAGGAATGTGAAACCGAATTCGCAGCGGTGAAGGTGGTGCCGGTGGTAGGCACCCCCTCTGCCCTGCGCATTCCGGGACCCGTTTAGATTTCCGCCACGCTGATAAGCAACACGACCCAGTCCTTGCCCCGCAGCACACCGAGCCCCGGAGAGGTCGTCGCTGATACCGTGGGGACGACAGATTTGTGTTTTTCCTTCGTCGTTTGTTCTCGGCAGGAGGCTTGCGCTGCCGCGGTGCGTAAACCACCAAGCCCGACCCTGCTGTGTGCGCCCATCTTACCCTTTCCTCTCCATCTGTGTCGGTGTCAGTTTAACTCGTAGTAGTGGTAGTAGTCGTAGGAGGCTTTCGTGACCAATAATGTCCATAACAAAGGTTTTTTTGGGGGTTAGGTCTCGTAAGTATAGATGTGTCGTTAAACCCCGCAACTGCCAGACACGGCCAATGAGTAATGTTTTGTCATGTTAACAAAATGTGCCAGCTAGTTACTAGTTCAGCACACTAGTGTGTTGGAGAGTGAACCCACAACATTTACATTTCGCCGGTAATTACAACAACCAGCCTCATTCATATTTACGTGATCCAACCCAAACAAAACCCCCTCTCTTATGGCTATATCATTGTCCCCCAAGATGTTCTCAGAACGCCGAGATTGGCTCTTTGGGTTGGGTTCCTGCTAGCGCACGGAAAACCGCAGCGTGGCGCAGCGTGGCGGAGTCTGGCGGAGCCTGGCGCAGTGTGTGCCCATCGGTGCCTATTGGTGCCCATCGTTCAGCCGGTGATGTCGCTGTCACAGTGGGGCTCTTCCGGAAAGCAGAGAGATGTTCAGTTGGGGGGCGGTGCACGGTGGCCCCTGGCTCCCCCTGCTTGCCCCCACTCTCACCCCCCCCCAGCTGCACCACCCACCATGCCACCGGTCCTGACCTCTGCGCCTCGTGATCTCGCGCCCAGCGAGCGCGTGTCTCCACGCACTACGAGTAATGTATTCATCTTTTTTTAAAGCACGAGATGGAACCCCAAGACCTAAACACACAACCGTTTCCTGTCCTCCCGCTCTCTCGCATTCCCACACGCTACCTAGCTAGCTATCCCAGCGTAATGCGCATTACGTTTCCGCGTGGTGCCCACAACAACGCAGTCTTGAGCGTTGCCCACGTGGAGTTGAAATGGTTAAACGAGGTTACTCCCATGACGACGTCCGTTTTTCCCCTGCCTGGAAGTCCAGCGAGGGCGTAGACTCGTGCTCCGATTGTCCCATTCCTGTCCTCTCTTGTAAGCGGGAGAGGGAATTTCGTACAGCTAAATTTGGCACGGCCGAGAGATGCTTGTCCTGTTGCTGTAGGGCGGCGATGGGGGAATGCTGCCTCCGAGGTCAGAATTGTGGCCCGGCTCGCGACCTGCATCACCTGCCAGAGTCCTCCTCCCAAGGGCCCATTCCATTCAGAGCAGTGGCAACCTCCTAGGACAGAGCCTCTAGTGTCCAATTGGAGTCCATATCCTGGGCAGCAACCTGCCAGGCATTATGGGGTGGATGCTCTGGGCCTCACAGTATGCCTCCTTTGGCAGGGCGGTCCCGTCGACATCTGTATAGGAACTGGCCTGTCCCCCCCTCCAAGGTGCCAGCTATGGTACTATTTGCTTATGTTGTAATAAATACCAACATCATTAGGCGGGCGGTGACGGCGATCGTCTACAAATGAGTTTGTGATTTAAAACGTGCTTTTTAATAGTGCTGCCCACTAGACTCGTCCATCCGTCCCTGTGACCAGCTGCTCTGTTTGAGAGTTCGTTGTTTGTATCTCCTTCCATGGTCCATTGTCACTCGGTTGAGGTCACGTGTTAAGTTACGTTTGTGACCTGGCCCCTCGTGTTCACTATTTTTAAATACGAGTTGGGGGAGTCGGCATGATGCTTCTTCACGCCTTTCCTTCCCCTCCCCAATCTGACTTATGTTCGTGGAGATGGTATTGGTCGCGCTCATGAGAAGGGAGAGTGGTGGGCGCAAGGGCCCTGCATGCCCACCGCGATTACATCTCTTGTGCTCTGGAGGAGCAGTGCAGGAATCGCTCCTGGTGTAGTTCCAGCATCGTCCAGTGGCTGGTGATCGTCGACGACCAGTTTAACACGTAGAAGGCTTTCACGACCGATATTATCCATGCCAGAGGTTTTTTTTGGGTTAGATTGTGTACATACGAATGTGTAGTTAAACCCGCCACAATCCAACACAGCCTATTATTAGTAAAGTCTGTCACATAAGGAAAACGTGCCAATTAGTTACTAGTTCAGCACTAGCTGGTGTGTTTGAGAGAAAACCCCACGACATTTACAATTCGAGTACTGTGACGTTTCGCCGGTAATTATAACCAGCCTCATCAGGCGGCAGCCACCTGAGGGTTTATTCTCCATCACACCGGTGTGCTGAGCTAGTAACTAATTGGCACGTTTTACTGTACATGACGAACCTTATGAATTGGCTGTGTCGGGTGGTGGCGGGTTTAACGGCACATTTATATATTTCCGAAATGTAACCCCAAAAAACCCTCTTATGCATCGACAAGTCTCTGCTGAAGGCACAAAACCTCATTTTTCATAAGTGGGCCAAATTCACATCTCAGGTGTTCACGGATGGCGTGACCTGAAAGTTTCCGATCCATTTTTAGTCTGGCATTGCGAACGTGTAGACAAGAAGCACAGCCCCTGAACTTTGTCAAGGGATCAGTTTTTTAAAACTTTTAACTTAGAACTTTGTCACAAAAATATTTTATTTCAAAGACTCAGGATTGGGAGAAAGCTCGCCGAGGAAGCGCCGCTTGTGGGTCAGGCTTTATATTCTGGGCTCGTGCTTGAGGTCACCCCAGGCCCTCGTGTGTGCAGTCTGCTGCTCTCAGCCTAGTCCCCAGTGACTACATGGGAATACGAGAGGAATGGTTTTGTAATTTTTAATGGCCTGTAACCGGAAGGTCATTTTTATTTGGCACGGACGCAACGAACTACTCTTCTGCACAGCTGGAGGGAGCAGTCTAGTGACTGTGTAAGATCATTCTTGAAGGATGCCGAGACGGGATTCGGATGCAACATCTGAGTCTCCATAGGATGCGTGGGCCGAAGTGTCATTGTCTCGAGGCCGACGATTCAATTGCGATGTAATTGGACGTCTGATAGTGTCGTGCAGCTCGCGCGAGTGTAGAGTGGTGCTCACCCTTCCCCCGTTGGCAGTGGTGGACGCTTTGTTGGTGGAATAGGCGCTATGCACGAGCCGTAGGGTGGGGACCCGCATGGGCAATGTGCCGAGCTGATCCGTCCCCGGGGCATTTGCGCTGACAACGTTGCGTGGTGGGGCGCACTTGAGAGTGTCCCCTGGCCGGATTGGATACAATCATAGCTGTGTGAGGTTTAATAAAACGGCTTCCTGCTGCGGAAACGAATGCCACCCAGTGCCAATGAGGCCACGATCTCTGTGATGGGGACTCAGAGGCGCCCTTAAAATACCGACTTCCCAAGCAGAGCACAGCGCGTACGCCTGAGATTCGCATTTTTGTGGGGTGGTGGTGGAGCGGGGGGGGGGGGCGGGTGGCGCTATCCCTATGAAGGAGGAGTCAACCTGGCCTCGCTGTGAGAAGTGCCACGGAAGGACACATCCGAGATGGTTCCTTGAAAGTGTACACGCTGCGTTGGGCCAGTGTTAGCCCAACCTCACTGTGGGAACTGCTGTGACTACAGCCTTTTGGGATGGTCGTCGCTCCAACACCAACTTTCGCCATTAGCGCTACGAACGTTGGAGGTAGAACCTCAGAACTAATGGGAAGAATTCACGAAGCCGATGCTTCAGCTCAGGAGAGAGAGGGTGGAGGATTACGGTGTGGGTTTGGGAGAGTGAAAGAGAGCGAGAGAGAGATGGGGGGGGGGGGGGGGGGGGGCTGGTCCATTCTGAGAACACGATCGAGCCATCAAACGACGCGGAGTCGGAGGTTATGCCGGCTCACTTGCGCGCGATGGGGCGGAACCATTTGCAGTCATAAGCCAGTGATGGAAAACTCCACCTTCTCATGTCATGGGCCTTTTTTTTTACGAGCAGATGCCCATTGGACACTTTCCACAAACTGTTACTCATCTTTCAATCACGGGTGGGCGATGGGCCCAGGTCACATGACGGTTTGCGATTCGGGTGCATTCACCACAGCGTCGCCGGCCCCGATTCCTACTGCAGATCTTAAACTCCTAACTTTGTGACGTTAAGCGCAGTCGTCGTACGACATTTCAAGACGAACCTCGGCACCGAGGGTATTGGCTCTGTCATCTTCATTGGCCG